AATGATGGAAAAAGAAGGGCAAATTGTTCTAAATGCGCCCCAAAGACAGGCGGAAAAGAAGGTGAAATTTGTAACTTTATAGTGAAATATCTCGATAAATAGTGGTTTGTTCACATTTTCAATATCAAATTCGTGTTTTTCAGACAAAAATACGTAAGTACCAAAAAAAATTTTCGAAAAAAAACCCATCGCATGATAAGTGCAAAATAACCCAAATCTTTTTCATAGCTCAAATGTTTGTAAATTATTTCTTTACCATTTTACACTGCAGTACCCCTCTCCAAATTCTGTTTAATCTCAGCAGTATGCTCCCCATAAAACCTGTCCATTTTCTTATTGAACTTGGCATTCCTCTCATTGATATAATCAATATCAGCATCATCATTATGAGTACGCCTCCTAGAATACTTGTTCCTCTTTGCTATCTGCTCTTCCACACTCTTCACCAGATTGTCCACAGCCTCTGGCCTGTCTTCATGTAAACCATGCACAATTGTATTGGGAGCAGCATAAAATGCTTCACCATACTTGTTCTTCTGCTCTATGTATCTTTCCATGTCTTTTGCTGGTAAATTTCTCACCAATCTATTGTACTGTCTCACAGATGCAGCTTCAAAATTAGAGAATCCTTCATCAGGGTTTTTCTTCTTTTTCATCCTTTCTAATCTTTCAGCTTCCACAGCAGAAACGTTCAATAATTTGAGCCTATCATAATCCTCTCCACGATTAACAGCCTCCTCTCTTTCAGTTTGATCATTCAACATCCATTCTGCTCTTCGTTTCCTGCTCTCCCAATTATTTGGAAGCTTGTTTCTCGCATCTTCGGCGATCACTTCTTGGTGATTGTGCGTCCTGGCTTCGTTTCTCTGCCTGTGTAGTTCTCTCAGCTTCTTCATTCTCTCTGCTTGGTTTTGTGCGAACGTTTTACTTACAGTTTCTTTCTCTGCTGTATTCATTATGAAAAAACACAAAATAAAGGTCGTGTAGAATAATATTTACAGAAGAAACTGAGGAAAATAATAAAGGAATAAACTTTTCCTGAATTTGGTATGATGTGGTATGATTATTAACAATGTGATGACAGATGATATATATCTGACTTCTGACATAAGAGTCTTAGACGTTAAACGTAAAGGTGAGTTCCCACTTCCCAATGTAGCTTTTTTGCTTTTCGCATCACGCTTCAGCGCTTCACGCACTATGATTAATGACGCGTGAATGGGAAGTGCTACACTGTTTTATATCAGTTTCTTCAGTTCGCTCCAGAATACTGAAAATATAGGATAATGCTCGTAAGACCTGCATCAGATAAGTCGTAATTCATCATAGCATAGTGAAAATTAGATAATTAGGTAGGTACCCACTTCAGTGATACTGCAATGATTTACTTATCATGAGATCACTTTCTGAAATGAGGGTTCAATGAAGTTGCATTCAAAATGTCTGCATTTTCATGAAAAATTTTGTGTTGAAAAAATTTTTATTGCTTTAATGAATATAAAGGTTTCTGGAACAGAACCTCAACGCAACACGAAGCAGCAACGCCAAAAAGTTGAAGTATTTTATCCATATACGTATTATTTTATCTTCATCGCGTCAAATATTTTTCAAATTTCGCGTCACTAATCAGGTTGCATGACGAACGACGCGTAAAGTAAAAACGCTGCATTGGGAGCTCACCTTAACGTGTCACGATAATTATTGGCATCTTTGACAGGAGTAAATAATTCGTTTCGCCCAGCCATTCGTATCGATGATTCTTAACAGTGGCGGAGTTGGGAGGTACATGGGGGCCTGAAGTCTCCCAAATTCTGATTTAGGCCCCTATAAAAAAAGAACTCTTAAATTAATTAAGTATCTATAAATTGATTCTGTTATATTGATTCAAAAACTGAAAACTCAGTGGTTGTTTTGGTATTTATTTGAAATAATATTAAGTTTGAAATTGTCTGATTCCGAGTTTTCTCTGACTTCACCAGAATTATTAGTATATAGAAGTACCTATAGCGAATGAGCGAAAGTAGCGTCACAAAAATCATTGCCAGCTCAATCGCGGAAAATTCACGAAACCGCATATTCAAGATTCAAGCAATAGAAGATGAAAAATACATGTGTTATAGTTATTTCTCGAAGGCAGTATAATTTGCTTGATTCTCGAGACTGGCATATTCTGAAATAACATATTTTTATCAAACGAGAACTTTCATCTTAAAAGTTAATTTCCTTTGTTCATTTGGTTAATAGCTATGGGACTCTAAATTTGGTATTTTCAAATAAATCCCAACCTACCCCGCCGTAATAGAAATCAAGTCGGCCGGGTTTTATTTTCAATCGGTTTTAATATGAATTCGGAATGTTTCTTATTGATTCGTATTGTTTACAAAATAATATACAGGGTGATTCATTTAGAATCGAAAATCTCTGAACTACGGATATTAAACAACAAAATAGAAAATGATCGTTTTTTTTCTGTAAAACTGCAAAATTGTGAAAAAATATTATTAACTGTCGAAACGTCAACTGGTGAATATGTAGCTCCAATAGAATCAAATAGATCGCGAAGTGCATAGAAGTGCAGAACCTACCTAGTGGGTATACTAAGCAAATTAGTATGTATTTGTTAGATGGTTAGATAGATGGATGAGATACATACATATAGGCTTTATTCAACACTGTTACATGTGAATGTTCAGTTCAAGTCAAAACATAACAAAGATAATATTCCTCTTCCTAACACAAATACTTATGAAAAACAAATACACATTGTAGTCAGACAGACATAATGACAAAATGATAAAATATCTAGTACATATATGAATGAGGAAATAACTGAAATAAAATATAATGAAAATTAATATTTAAATCAAAAAAACAGTTAAGTATGAGGCTAACATTTGACAAAATGAAATAAGTTGAGATTACAATCTGTGAGTTAAGCGACTCAGTAAGTACCTATATCAAAAGACATTTTTGTATCCAAATATTCTTGAATGCTGTAGAAGCATTTTTTAGGAATAAACGACTTTCATATTTTTGAATTTTGAATCACTGAATAACTTCATGGTCATAGGTAGCTGATAATTGTATAGGGATGAATTCAAACTATTTTTCTCGGATTTTTGTAGTTTATAGCGAGGGGTTTGTAGCAGATGGGCTAATCTAGTGGCATAACCATGAGTATCTGAGTTGGTACATAACACGGCCCTCCTCTTATATATTGGAGGATTTCCCCACAAAATCACAGCATATATAACATATGTGAGTTACACATAGAAAAATGAGGTGTTCTCAATGTATCAAAGCTGATTATTTGCCTGAGTTGTCGAAAAAGGAAGGACATATCGTGCCAACTTGTTTCGTACTTCTAATATGTGTGTGGACTAGGAAAGCTTTGTCATTCAGGGTTATGCCCCAATATTTTCGTAGAATCATCACCAGAAATCAGGTCATTGAAAGAAAAATTTGAATTTTGAGTCTTAGTTTGGATTGTGTTTAACAAGCTCTTCAGCGCTTGTTTTTAAAGTGTTTAACATATCTTAAGTTTTATGGGATGTGATAAAATGGTTGTGTCATCAGCAAAAATGATAGTTTTTATGGGTAGAATAAAGTTATGGGAAGTCGTTCATAGTAATAATGAATGAAAGCGGTCCCAGCACAGAGCCTTGAGGCACACCATGATATACACTACTTCTTATTTGGGGTATTCATTGTTGACGAATATTTTTTGTTTCCTGCCGGATAAATAACTAGTGACCAAGTCGCGGTTTAATTCTCTTATTCCAAATAATCAATTTTTTTCTGAGAGCAAGGTGTGTTGACACACATTCGAAGGCCGCGAGAATTGACCAGCCCCGGGGTTCATCGCGGGAAAGAGAAGGACGTATAACTCGCTCTCGCTCAGATGAACCTTTTTTCTTGAAGAAGGAGAATTTTTCTTGAGGAAGGAAAATATTGTTTCTGCATAAAAAATGAGAAAACCTAACCTATCTATTTTATGAGTATATCTGTACTTGTTTCGTTGACCTGTGTAAAACTTAATGTTTATTAACACCAAATAAAATATTCTATTCTATTCTAACCTAACCGAACCTCACCTCTGGCCTAAACCACAAACATAGAAAACCCCTAAATGAACCTATTTCCCATAGAGAATATTTTTTAGAAATCACTTGAGAACAAGGAAAAAATAAAAAAAAGATGAGCCTCGCACGGATTCGAACCCCGGCCCGCCGGCTTGGCATGCCGATGCTCTGCCTACTGAGCCAACCAGTTGCTTACGAGACGAAGTATGATGAAGTACTGTGCTTCGGCTATGTGCCAAATGCATTCTCGCGAGTGAGAGGGCATTATATGTCCTTCTCTCTCCCGCGATAAACCCCGGGGCTTGTCAATTCTCGCTCGAAGGCCTTGGAGTTGGAGAGATCACACAGAGTGTAAGATTCACATGTTTCCCCTTCTGAAAACCCTCGACTATGCAACCACCTTCATTACTGCATCAATGGTTGATCTGTGACGACGAAAACCAAACTGAAAGTTGCTAAAAAAGTGTGTCATTATATGAAATTCAAGTAACCTGTTTTTCAGAATAATTTCGAAAATCTTGCCGAGAATAGGAATTATCCTCTTTCAAATAGGGGCAGGACCTTCAAAATCTTGAATGCTTCAGGGAAAGTTCCAGTTTTTATGCAATCATAGTAAAGTAACCCAACCATTTTCTTCTGATCGTTCTCCTGTACTTTGTGTATCATTAGGTCTGTTCGTTTTAATGCTGAACTTGCTAAGTTGATTTTGTTTCCATAGTTATCTCAGTTCATGGCATAAATAAACAGAGTCATAGAAAAAAATCGAATTTAGCAGGAGCAAACACAAACGAACAGGCCTATTATGTGTATTTCCCAGAAAAACTTTTTGTTGTATAATGTATCTCTTTTCGAGTTTCGTACGCTTCTGGATATAAAAAGATATGAATCTCTGGGCAAAACGAATTTCCATCTTTCCCTTTTCTCAGGTTCGTCTTGTTCCGTGGTTCCGTGTTCTGTTGTTGTTTTGTCAGCTGTTTTTTTAAGGTTATGTTTATGTGTTTCTCGTGTGGAAATCGAAATTCCAAATGAAAAGAAAAAAGCAAACCACAAGCGAAGGGCACATTGAAATTGTGAATGGAGATCTCGAAAGCCATCCACAATGCCCACACGGCCCAACGATATTGTTCTCCAGAAACGTCAAGGGCACTAAAAGGAACTTTTTCGCATGTGCTGCTAGTAGAGATAGAAAACATTGCAATTTTTTCCTGTGGGCAGAAAATAGGTCTACCTTCAAGAAGGATGTGTGGCAACAAGAAATAAATAAGGAACTGGGAGGTATCAACCATGAGAAGTTGTTTTCTATGCAAGATATGATAAAGGTGCCACCTGCAATGAGATTATTTTGTCACAAATGTACTGAGTTAGTGGATGAAAGGGAAAATGACCAGCATAAGAACCATAATTCAATAAGGAAATTGACTGATTATCAGCTTAAACATCCTACAGAAATTTTACCTGCTCTGGAGAATACAAAGAAAGAAGCACAGTACCTTTTTTCCAAATCATCAGTAGAAACCATGATGGATATGTTTGAAAGGCTGGGGTATAGGCAAGTATCTACCTATTCAATAGTTGTTTTGAATGCCCTAATTGATAACTGGGTAATTTTGCACTTATCATGTGATGGTTTTTTTTTTGAAAAATTTTTTTGGTACTTATGCATTATTGTCTGAAAAGCATGAATTTGATAATGAAAATGTGAACAAACCACTATTTATCAAGATATTTCAAGAAAAAGTTCGAAATTCCTTCTTCTCCCTCTTGTGTTGGATGCATTTACAGGTACTTGCTCTTTTTATTTTGTCATTGGACACTTTATATACTCATGATGTACTTCAATGACACATTTTAAGATAGAAAATTCAAGAAATATGATTTTTATGGCCAGTTTTTCCTATTTAGTGAGCAAGCATACCAGATGAGGGCCATTTAATCCATAGGCATTCCAAATACCAGATGTCAAATGTCAATAGATTGCTTTGGAATGACATTACACACGCCATTATTTCAAATGAAATTAGTCCTTCTTTTCACTAAACATGGATAAATCACAAAGAAATCATATTTCTAGTTGACTCATATAATGAAAAAAAAAATGTGTCCAACATTGTGTGATATACATAAATTGTCCAATGATGGAAAAAGAAGGGCAAATTTTTCTAAATGCCATCCAGAAGACAGAAGGAAAAGAAGGCGAAATTTGTAACTTTATAGTGAAATATCTTAATGAATAATGGTTTGTTCACATTTTCATTATCAAATTCGTGTTCTTCATACAAAAATACATAAGAACCAAAAAAAAAAAAAAATTCGAAAAAAACCCATCACATGATAAGTGCAAAATTACTGATAACTGCTATGCTACATTTCTCCTGAGATTTCTCCATACTATATTGTGGATTTTAATTTCATCACCAAATTCATACTAGCTTTAAATCAGCAGAAGCCATTTTGAAAATATTTCAAAACATTTCCTATATTTACCATTCTGGTCAGAAATAGGTGCATAGAATGAAAATTCTTTGATATGTTAAATAAATGCATAATTAAATACAAGGTTAAATATTAGGTGAAATACAACCATTGATATAATTATTACTATCTAGACCACTATACTTGTATGTCATATCACTTAACTCAAAAATCTAGGGTTAATTGCTTGTCTGAAAACACTTTTGCTCAATGTGCAGGAACCAGAGTTGCATAAAATCACAATTTTTTTGTTAGCAAAAAACGTCAGATTTTTGGTTTATTAAATCATGAATATTTTTATTCATACTGATTTTTTTTATATTAACATATTGATTGTTTCTTCAAATATGGAAATAATTTACTAAAATCACTGATTTTCATTATTTCTCTCTATTTGCCCAAAACTATTGGTTGTTTTTCACAGTTAGAAAATCTACTCAGTGAATAAACAAGTGTTGGAATGAAAATTTTCCACAGTGTGCAGCATGGGGTAAAGTAGCAAAACATTCAAAATTATCACAGGAGTTGTATTTTAATGTATAAATAAGTGAAAGTGAAAATATTTACAAGTCCTGCAACTTTGTTAAAAATGTAAATTATAAACAATTGTGGCTATTTTGCAGAAAAAAAATGCTAAAGAGTCATAATGTTCAAAACAAGGAAATTTAATCCATTATCATTCCCCAATTTTGTGATTGTTTCCAAGTATGGCATCACAGTAAATCAATTGATTATTCATACTTTTTTAATAATTCATCAGAAACAAATAATTTGGTTTAATGGAATTGAAAAAAATCATTTGATTTAAATCATAACCCTGGCAGGTTAGGTGAGTCATGCTTCTTGGTCTTTGGAAACATGAGTAAGAGGTGAGTAATGGTGAATGCATGATGTAGTGTCTGAGATTTATTCCTGCCTATGCTGTCTACGTAGTTTATATTATATAAGGAATTTATGTATGATGATTCAGCTGGTTGGATGGGTACAGTTCAGCTGTGATTCACTTGAACAGTGATATCCGAATAAAGTGGTTGTATGTAAAAGCATTGTGTTTCATTCATACGATAAATAAGTTAGTTAATTTGTGTATTCTACAAGTGGCGACGAGGATAGTTTGTGAGTTAGTGGAAACATTGTGAAACCAAAGGTGAGTGGAGTGGTTAATACAACAATAAGAAAAGAGAAAGACGAGAGCATATAAAGGCATGCAGACAATATTTACCCGCGTGATCAGAAAATGAAAGAGAATCACTGAACAGTGTTGAATTGGGATGTTTGGAACAAACGATTCCAAGAATGGGGAAAAACCCCTCATCAATCCTGAGCCCCAAAATACAGCAAGATAATTAGGTAGCTTTGCCATTTCCTTGAAAATTTGGTGCCAAATTGCAACGGTTCATGGAAAAGTTCAACTTTTATGAAAAAAAAAAACAATCAGAGATAATTTCGTGTTACATACTCATCGATTTGTTTCTCAAAAAAAAAACAAAAATATTTTATACTATTTCAACATGAATTAACTCAATTTTATATAGTATGGCATACTCTTAACGAATTTTCAATAATTTCTGAAACTGACCTACGGATATTAGGTATATACATAATACATACATATACTAATGAATAGATACAGTTCTGCTAGTATGTCGAGGGTGAGGATAAACCAATTCAAACTGATGGGATATTGGTCTGTGTGTGCATCGTCGATTGGATGAAATCCAACAGTGAACTTTGTTCACAGGAAAATGGCAAACTTATTAGCCATACAACCCTTTGAATGTGAGGGCGAGACAACATCTGTCGGCATCCGTTGGGAAAAATGGGTACGCTCGTTTAAGATTTACCTAGAGGCGTCGAACATAGAACAGCCCACTAAGAAAAGAGCTACTCTTCTGCATAGCGCTGGTAGCGCACTGCAAGAGATTTACTACAATTTACCAGGAGCTCATGTAGAGCCAAAGGATGACGAAGGTAAAGACGTGAACGTTTACAAAGTTGCGGTTCAAAAACTCAACGAATATTTCTACCCCAAACAGTCAAAAATTTATGAGCGTCATGTTTTTCGCTTGACTAAACAGGAGCAAGGAGAAAAATTTGAAAAATTCTTAGGTCGATTAAGGAACCAGGCAGCCAAATGTAAGTTTACCAATCAAGAGGAACACTTAATAGACCAAATTGTCGAGAAAGGAACCTCAGTCGAACTAAGAAAAAAAATATTATCAATAGGTGACACGATCACGTTAGATAGTATTATTTTGGAAGCTAATGCATTAGAAACTGTCAATAGACAATTAGAACGTTTCAATGAGCAGGAAAAGAAAAATTTAGAACTCAACTATGTATCTAAGGACTCTCGTAATAAAGAATGTTCGCGTTGTGGCGGAAATCATCCTTCAAATTCTCCCAAGTGTTTCGCTAGGTTAAAAATTTGTAACAAATGTGGCTTCAAAGGACATTATCAAGAATATTGTCGAACAAACCCCCGGAAAAGACATAACGATAGTGAATCTTCAGACAAAATAAATAAACATGGACATAAACATTTCAATGACTCTAAAAGACCAAAAAGATCTGTAAACTTTCAAAAAAGGAGAAACAATACTGAAGAAGTTGATAACATCGAATCAGAAGAAGTTGATTATGTTTTCCAAATCGATGAAGACAGTGTCATTAAATGCAATCTTGGTGGAGTTTCAGTAGACATGCTCATCGATTCGGGAAGCAGAAGCAATATTCTGGATGACAAAACATGGGCGCTGATAAAACACGAGAAAGTTAAAATATGGAACCAAATTAAAAATCCCGATAAGTTACTTTTTGCTTACGGAAGTAATATACCCCTCAATATTCTGGGATCTTTCGAATCTAATATTTCCATAGGTAAAAATAGCGAAATTGCTAGATTTTATGTCATTAAAAATGGTTCCAGGTGCCTTCTTGGAAAATCTACAGCTATTGCTCTTGGTGTTCTTAGAATTGGGTTAGAAGTTAACGCAATAGAACAATTCCCGAAATTCAAAAATGTCCTAGTTGATATTCCTATTGACAAGACAGTCAACCCCGTGTGTCAACCTTATAGGAGAATTCCAATACCTTTGGAAGCCAAAGTCGAAAGAAAACTATAAGAATTAGTTGAATCTGATATAGTGGAACCTGTTAATGAACCCGCAAAGTGGATATCTCCTATAGTTCCTATACTCAAAGAAAATGGAGAAATCAGAATATGTGTAGATATGAGACGAGCAAACGAGGCTATTTTACGGGAGAATCACCCTTTACCCACGATGGATACTTTAGTTCCACATTTCAAGAAGGCAACAGTTTTCTCTCGACTAGATATCAAAAATGCATTCCACCAGATAGAAATCTCTGAAGCATCTAGACACATAACAACATTCATTACCAGCTAAGGCTTGTTCAGATATAAAAGACTGATGTTCGGAATATCATGTGCCCCCGAGATTTTTCAGAAAATTTTAGAGCGAATTTTGGGACCATGTGATGGTACAGTCAATTTTATCGATGACATACTAATTTATGGACAAAATCTAGAAGAACATGACCTTCGACTCGAAAAGACGCTCCAAATATTAAATGACAACAATGTTCTCCTGAATGAGCAAAAATGCGTGTTCAGAATAAACACAGTAGAATTTCTAGGATACAAGCTTTCATTTCAAGGTATTGAGCCATTAGAGAGCCACATCAAAGTAATACAGAAATTTCGGGCACCAAGAACTACAGACGAAATTCAAAGCTTCCTTGGCCTTTTGAATTTTGTTGGAAAATGGATAGCAAACTTAGCGACACTAACGGAACCAATCAGGCAAATACTCCGATTAAAACTTGGTAAACATGCTAACATAGAAAAATATTGGAAAGAAGACCAAAGTCGAGCTTTTCTAAAGTTGAAAGAAGCTTTGTCGAATATTAAAACTTTGGGGTATTACGATCCTAATGACAAGAATCAGGTCGTAGCCGATGCCAGCCCTGTAGGGCTAGGCGCAGTATTATTGCAACACGACAATAATGGCCCTCGAATTATAGCATATGGAAATAAGAGCCTCACCGATTGTG